GCCGCCGCTGCTGCTGCTGCTCCTCCTGCCGCTGCTGCTGCTGCTGCTCCTGCTGCTGCTCTGCTACTGCTAGTACTACTCCAACTACCGCTACAGCTGCTGCTACCGCTATCCACTGAAAGCTTCGTATGCATCGAAACAGGGCAATCTTGGAAAGTATCCCTAAACCCTAAACCCTCAACCCCTAAACCCTAAACAGTAGAAAGCGACGAAACGTCGGGCCATCCCTGCTAGAGAGCCCAATCTTTGTAGAGAAGCACAGCTTGAACTAGCTTAAGGGCTTGAATAATTAGAATACAGCTTTGGGGTGTACCATACTATATTTATGCGGAGGAACCCCAAAAATAGTATATGTAATTATTTAGGCGCCTAGAAACGGAAGGGGGGGCGATGCAACAGAGGCAAGTCAAAGGCCTGAGTGTGCCATGGAAAGAAGTGGACTGGGGCCTCGAGCTACCCCTTTGGGGCCACATTGCGGAAAGAATAAATTCTAGGAGGTCCTGGCAATCGAAAAACCTCGATGCGTGCAAGGCCTCGCATCGGAGAAGCTCAAACCCCGGAATTCGAAAACTTGATCATATTCCAGAATCCAAGACGCTTCTGCTTCAGGTAGTAGCTTCCAATGAACTTGCGCCCGTGCAGGTACACCAATGTGTGCGTATGCGGGCCTGCCGGAGGTATCTCAACCTGCAGACTCGGGCGAGGTGGTTTGGCGAGGTTAAGGCGTTAGTGGAGTGCTTCGGAATTTACTGCCTGGCTTCAACCCTGCACGTTAATCAGTCATAGGCCCGTTGTGCACGGGGTGCAAAGTCCTTCGCTCAGGCTCTAAATGGACTCGGGCATATCGAAAAACCTGAAAGCCCACCTGAAACCGCATCAGATCCTACGACCCGCACTGCCCCCCCTCATAAACCCTAAACCCTAAACCCTAAACCCACTCTCTGGTTGATGCCAGCAGCGCAGCCGAAGAGGGTGGACAAGAACTGCGGCAGCACTGCCGGATCTCGCCTGCAAGGGTTTGGGGTTTAGGGTTTAGGGTTTAGGGTTTAGGGTTTAGGGTTTAGGGTTTAGGGTTTAGGGTTAGGATAGCAGCAAAGTGAGCAGATTTAATGTAGGTGCCCTAATAGCTAGAATAGGGTTTCGGGGACGCACTATACTATAATTAATTATAGTAAGGAGCCCCAGGCTGCTATAGGTAATTTTTAAGGGCCCCTATATGAAGGGCTTCTCAAAATCAGGGGCTCCCCTTAGTTACAGTTTAACATAAGCATAGACACTCTGCAAAGATGAAGGGGATCAACCTGAATCTTTGCTATTGAGCTCCGTAATGTAAGAGTACTTCGGGAACCCAGAAAAGTTAGAACTCCTAATCTACACAGCTACTGTACTTCTGTGGCTGGGTTTTGGCCAAGATTAGTCTTTAGCCTTTGAGGACAATCGCTGTGTCGCCGCAGCTCACTTTCCTTAACCCTAAACCCTGAACCCAAGTAAGATGCTTCTGTGGCCGATGGTTTAAGTTAAAGCTTCAGAACAATGAGCTTATGAACCCTAGATACACACTTAGGAGTACCAGCATTAATAGTAGCAATAGTAGCAGGTGCAAATGTAGAAGCCTGTATGATTACCCATATCATTCCGTACAGTTCCTCAGATATAATCACTATTATGGATCCCAAACCCGTATACTAATTATCCAGTACCCTGTTCTAATTGTGCAGTAGCCCCTAGACCCCAGTACCCTGTTCTAAGTGTGCTGTAGCCCCTAGACCCTAAACCCTATTCTAATACTATAGGGGCCTTAGCAATTGGAACAGGGTTTTGGGGTATATTCTACCATAGCCAAAATAAGGAACCCCCAAAATAGCAAAGGTAGTTATTTAGGCCCCTGTTTTAATTCTCCAGTGGCCCTTCTCGGAGGCTTCATCTCAAGTATCCTGGGGGCTGGCATCAGGGAAAGTCCAGCCGACGCCTTACCCTAACTCTAGTATCCTATATAGTCTATATAGTAAGTACTTGGGGGGTTAGGGTTAATTGCAAAGTTAGAAGCGGGTTTTGGGTACATTATTGTGCCATAAGTATAACGGGGAACCCCCCAAAAAAATAAGTAATCATTGACGCCCCTATGGTAGACTTGTACGGGTGTCGGGTTTTTGGAGTGTTTAGCGCTCAGGGTTTAGGGTTTGCCTTCAGGGTTTATGATTCAGTGTCTAAGTCAAGGGAGTTGGAATAAACTGTGGAACATCAAGAAGCTGAAGAGCCCCAAGTGGAAAGCAAAGCCCTCCATCACCCCAACTGGGTGGCCATACGGCGCTGCCTAAACCCCCATGTGCTGATACGAGGATGGAAGGATCCTTCCCTGCCCGTCTCTAGTTGCAATCCCTTGCCCAAAACGTACATACTTCGACCAACGAGCAGCTGAAGGCTCAAACTCCGGAAGCCCCAGGCCCTGTAGATGGGCAGTTCTCTAAACTAGGGACCCCTTTTCCGGGCCCCCCAAATTTGTACGGCACCCTTAGAAAGAGGACTCCAAAAGGGACCCTGGCTTAGAGAACCACCCAGATGCTGAAACTTCCCTAGACCCTAAACCCTAGTACCCTGAACCCTAAGCCCCGGGCGCCCTGCTTCACCGGGAAGTTCGGCGAGCTCCCTTCCGCCTTGAGCCTCCAGGGCGCCGGGCTCCCGCGTTAGTGACTTGAGTGCTGAGAACTTTCGGATTTGGCATGGGGGAAAATCGCTAAACCTTAAACCCGGAAGCCCTAAACCCTGAAGCCCTAAACCCTAAACCCCCCAAGCCCTAAGCCCTGAACCCTAAACCCTCAACCCTAAACCCTGAAGCCCTAATCCCTGAAGCCCTAAACCCTGAACCCCTAAACCCCTAGAGGATGCAACCTTCTGGGGTTTCGGGCTCTGGGGGTCAAGCCATGAAAGTCGCAACCGTCTTCCGAAAAAACAGAAAAGCACCATCCCACCACGGCGCTTCTGTGGGTGACGCTTCAAGATCGCATCTACTGATACTAATCCTAGTAAGTGAGTTCACAATGCCAAGAGCGTAATCGGAATATGAGTGATAACCGCAGGAAAGCAGTAACAATGTTATTGACAGCAATGATGCTACTGCTACTGCAACCGTTTTCAAAACAGTAAGCATACACTGGAGACAACAATTGTAATGCGATAGTAGTGAGAACAGCAGTACCGCTGCTGATACTACTGGTATGATTGTTGAAAATTGTTGCTCGTGTTTTAATCCGTGGCTACGGTTTTGAGCATGGCCATGGCTATTACCCTAAAACCTAAAACCTAAGCACTAAACCCTATTGTGGTTGAAGATGTAGAGTTCCCCTAGCCGCGCTGTTCCTGCGACGACTACAGCCAGGATCATGTTGCTACTGCTACGACCGAAGGGCAGGCATGAGTCCTAGCTTTCCAATAAACAACGCTGCACCAAACCCAGGCAGGGAATCCCGAAACCGTTCCCTTAAACACCCATACAAAATTCAGTTTCACTTTCGTCCGTGAACCTTGGGTTTAGGGTTTAGGGTTTAGGATCACAAGACCAAGCAGCTACTTCCCGGATGCGCCCCCCAGTACTCCGGGAAGCCTCAACCACTGCACCTTCCACCGTCCAAACAAACAACAAGATCAGAAGCCCGCGCCCGACGCCGAGAACCTTTTAGGGGTTGTTTTGTGGTTTAGGGTTTAGGGTTTAGGACTTGGTCATTTGAAAGCCCAAGACTTACCACGTGAAGCAGAAGAACCAACAGCGAAGACAACCACTCATTAAGAGCATGAGCAGCGGAATCAGCACCAGCACTAACAACCGCAGTCACTGCAGCAGCAAGAGCAGCAGGAGGAGCCACAGCCCAAGCACCAGCAAAATCTTAAACCCTAAACCCTAAACCCTAAAGCCCTAAAAGCAGGATGAGGAAAATGGACTAGGGCCCCCATGCCTTCGCTTCTGTTCCGCTTCCCGCCCCTTGGCAAGTGAAACGCACTCTAAACCCTAAACCCTAAACCCTAAACCCTAAGCCCTAAACCCTAAACCCTAAACCCTCAACCCTAAATCCAAAGCCCTAAACCCTAAATCCTAAACCCTAAGCCCTAAGCAGGCGAGTCTTGGGCTCTGCAGGGGGTTTTGAGGGGTTTGGGGGCTAAAGGCCTACTTAAAGGATGATGGGACTTAGTAACTAGGGGTCCTTAAAGGGTCCCTTAAAGGGGATCTCTAAGGGTTCTAAAAGGGTTCTTTGGGTTACTTAAAAGGTCATGGGACTTAGCAACTAAGGTTATTAGCAAGGTAACTATACTTATAACTACATATGACTACTTATAACCCCAATTAAGGTACTTATAACCATACTTACTAAGTTCCATGATCCTCCAAGTAAAGATGGGATCAGGATGTGGGGCAGACTAATGTAGAGGCCTCAACAATTAGAATAGTAGGGTTTTGGGCTCCTTTATCCTATAGTTCTGAAACGGAACCCTAAGGAATAATATTGGTAATGATTCAGGCTTCTATATTCGGGCCCTAAACCCTAAACCCTAAACCCTAAACCCTAAAGTCGGGTGTCGCGGGCACCTTCCAACCTGAGGTTCGGAAAACATTGAGCACCTTTAGGGTTTAGGGTTTAGGGTTTAGAGTTTAGGGTTTAGTGTGCTTGGTGCTAGAAGAGGAAGTTGATCAATATAGAGGCCTCAGTAATTCCAGTAGGGTGTTGCGCCCACTATACTATAATTAGAATAAGGAGCTCCCAAACTAGCATAGGTAAATGTAGGCCCCTACATTAATTTGGACAACCTAAACCCTACAAGCCTAAACCCCTACACCCTAAATAAACCCTAAGCCGTAAGCTCGAAACCCTGTATAAACCATGAACCCTAGCATAAACCGCGCACAAACCCTATAGAAACCCGCACTCAACTCAGAGAGCCGGAATGCAACTTGCAGGTTTAGGGTTTAGGGTTTAGGGTTTATAGGGTTTAGGGTTTAGGGTTCAGGGGTTTAGGGTTTAGGGTTTAAGTGGTTCTGAAGTCCCGAAACCCGAACCCTACATTCCAAACCCTACCTATTAGTCTCCATCAGGGTTCCAGAAAACTGGGGGAAGACCCCTTAGGGTCCTTACGCGAAGGAGCTCATCATGTTTTATTGTTAGCATGTTGGGTCCTTCGCTCCCTGACATCCACCAAATCCGAAGTGCTTGGAAACATATTTCCGCTGAAATCTGTCCTGAACCCTGAACCCTGAACTCTAAACTCTAAACCCCAAACCCTGAACCCTAAACCCTGAACCCTAAACCCTAAACCCTAAACCCTAAACCCAAAACCCTGAACCCTGAACCCTACTCCCCAAGCCCTGATATGGACTAAAATTCTAGTTCGAAGCTGCAAGGACGAGACGAACATGTCGCGACAGGTTGCAGTGCAAGGGAACTTGAACTGACCCTTGGGTGTAGGGTTTAGGGTTCAGGGCTAAACCTTATAAACCCTAAACCACATGAGATTCAGACTGAAATTTCTCCATGCTTCCGACAGCAAAGCTGGCGTGCCGCTGTTGACGATGCGCCACCATCTAGGTCTTACGGTTTAGCTATTGATAACCGCAATTAATTAAAAAAAAGCTACACAAAACCTTACTTACTGAGTTTAGGGATTAAGGGCTAGGGTCTAGCGCTTTGGCTTGGGGTTTAGACCTTAAGGGTTTGGGGTGTAGGGTTTACGGTAATGTTTTGGGGGTTTAAGGCTTAGGGTCTGTGGTTCGAGTCTAGGTTCAGGGCTTCGCCGGAAAAAGAGGAGGGTGTCTCGCGGAAAGATTTGTAGGTTCCTGTAGACCCGAATATAGAATTTATGAGGGACCTTACAAAAAGGTAGGTTTTTGGTGGTTCAACCTAGCGTATTTGCACACGATGCCGGTTGGGGTAGTCTGAGTGAGTGTCTCCGTCTCCACGAAAAAGCCCTGCAAATCCTGAACCCTAAGCCATTCCACCAAAAAAGACTTGCAAACCGGGCAGTTGTCTAAGATAGGGTCCCTTTAAGGATTCTTTTTATAAGGGTGCCGTACTATTTTGGGGATCCCAAAAGGCACCTTAATCTAGAGAACTACCCAACTCCTGAACCCTTGACCCAAAGGCCCTAAGTGCAAAGCAAGCCTGGATTCCCCGAAAAGCAGGATGCAAACGAGTGCCGCACCCCTTCACCCGGCCCTCGGCCAGTGCAGATGCAGCTTTGCCGATCTGCGCCAGCTGCCCTGGGGCTGATGTAAGTGGCCTTAAACAGGTTTGCAAGGGTCTTACAAGGGTTGTATAGGAGTCTTGTAAGGTTGAGACCGTAATGAGTAGAATAAGGTTTTGAGGTATATTGTGTTCTCTGATCCGCCAGACCGGTGTAGTAGGCCGGGAATTGATTAAGGAGCCCTACTAACATGCAAAGAGAGCTGGCCACGGAGAGTGCGATGGTGCTGGTCATGTTGAAGGTGATGGTAACGTTACGACTGTTTCTATGATGTACTCCCACAGTTCCTCCCAGTAGAGTTTGGCTCCTGGCATTCCGGCAGGTAGGCTTTTCAAACCCTTTTGAAGTTTAGGGTGTCCGGCGCGAACGAACGAATTCACCGAACCACATCTTCGCAGGATTTCCCAAGACATGACAGGATGCTACACACTTTCAGTCTGAACACGTATGCCCGACCCTTAATCACGAAGCCCGAAAGCGCAAAACCTCTAGACTCTAGTGACAATGCCTGCTTCTTGACATGAAAGCAAAACCACATTAAAGCAGCTTAGCAACCTTGACCAGGATGGCCGAAAGCCATCAGCGCCAACTCCTGCATCAAAATGTCGCACACGCTGAACCCAAAACCACCAAAAAAACCCTAAAACCCTATCCCTAAACCTCACACCATGAACTTAGGTCCCTACCCCAAACCCCTACAAGCCCCTTACTAGAACGCAGGAGATTCAGAGTTCGAGGTTTGGAGCTTGTTGTTCGGCTGTGCATGGTTTCGAGGGTTTAGGGTTTAGTGGTTTAGAGTCTAGGGTTTAGGGTCTAGGGTTTAGGGTTTAGGGGTTTAGGGTTTAGGGTTTAGGGGATAGGTTTGGGGTTTAGGGTTTAGGGTTTCGAGAGATCACCATAGCGCGGCCTTCCCAGCTTCAATATGCTTTTGGGGTAGACGATGCTTCTTTTGACTAGGGCAACTACGGTGATATTTGGACTAATTGTGATTAGAAGAGGCTTTTGGGGTAGAATACGTCTTTAACTAGTGTGATAATATCACCCTAAACCCTAAACCCTAAACCCTAAACCCTAAACCCTAAACCCTAAACCCTAAGTCCCTATATTATAGGGACTTTACTGAGGGCATAAGATCCCTAGTTGCGCAATCCCTAAACCCTAAACCCTATAGTATACCCTAAACCCTAAACACTGAACCAAACCCCAAACCCAACACCCCAAGCCCTAAACGCTGAACCCTAAACCCTACACCTCAGTCTTTCTTCCTTGAGAGCCTCAGAGCCATGGCGCTTGTGGAGGGTTTGGCAGAAAATGGCTCCAAATCGCCTAAACCCTTAGGGTTTAGGGTATAGGGTTTAGGGTTTAGGGTTTAAGGTTTCGGGGCTTAGGGTTGAAGGTTTAGGGTTTAGGGGTTTAAGGGTTACCCAAAGACTTTAAGACCCGAAAAGCCTAAACCCCCAAAACTTCGCGCCTTCTTCGTCACTACCTGACCCACGGGAACCATTTCCAGGGCGGCTCGGCAAATTGGAAGGCCTCAGGTCAGAGCCGAGGGCTCTTAGAGCTCTTTACAAACCGGGTTTAGGGCTTAGGGTCTAATTTAAATTTAGGGTTTAGGGCTTGGGGGTTTACTTTAGGGTTTAGGATTTAGGGTGTAGTTTAGGGTTTAGGGTTTAAGGTCTGGTTTGAAGTTGGGTTGAGGGCTTCAGGTTTAGGGCTTAGGGTGCAGATTTAAGAGCTACTGCAACGAGGTGTAATAATCATATAAGTTCTGCCTGGGCTCTTGGGGGTGGGGGTTTTGGCTCTGGGGTGTTTAGGGTTGAGCGTCCTGTATTCGAATTCTTCAATGAAAGATCAGTACCAAGGATAGCTATGCTCGTCCCGTCAGGGTTCTATAAGGGTTAGCATATGGGCGACGAGGGTTCCACAAGGGGTTTTGGGGTTTAGGGACATTCATCCTTTCCGCTAAGACCTCATTAGTGTTGCTGGTCTTCTTCCCTCTACTATGAACCCAAAACACTAGACTCTGCTAGTGTGAGAGTAAAGAAGCTGCGTGTAAGTGCTACGCTGCTGGTATGGAACGCAAGAGCCGCGGCTCCCAGCTACAGAGCCCTAACCAAGGAATCAAGCACCTCTGAAGCTTACGTTGAAGCCAAAAGGACTCTGAAGCTTACTTAGAACCAAAAGCGACACAAGGCCCTCGAAGCACGTGCCACGGAAGGTTGAGGTAGCAAACAGTCACTGCATGGTGGCCACTGCGGCACAGTACCGTGTCTACGGATTCTACTATTGGCTCCTGTTGTTCCTGTCGGGTAGTGAACCCTGTTGCTCAGCCTGCCGTGCTCGTAGTCTTCCTTGTAGAGGCGGAGGAGGCGGCTGGCTTCTTCAACAGCTTGCCCATGGCTGTGCGGAGTCACGCGGCCCGAAGCCCTGAACCCCAAACCCTAAACCCTAAAGCCCTAGACCCATGATATGTTGGAGCTTCTGAATTTGGGGGGGTTCGGCTGCGGTTTCTTCGGCCCCAACCCTCTGCTTGGGGCTGAAGGCACAAGCGGATTTAGGGTTTAGGGTTTAGGGTTTAGGGTTAGCGGATTAGAGTTCCCAGGGCCTACATGCCTGCCACTTTTCTAACTTCAAGGCCAAGAGGCCCAGGATATCCGGACTTGGAAACAAACTGTTGATGATATAAACCCTGCCTTACTTGAAGGACCCGAAACTATGGGAACTGTGGTATATTCCTTATTAATGGGTAATGCAGGATTTATATCAACAGCCGTATGTAACCGGAAGTGTCATCACCTGTGTTGCGCTCTCCACTGCACCTGGATCCCTGGGCGGTGGTGCAAGGCAACTCGGTTTAGGGGTTTAGGGTTTAGGGTTTAGGGGTTTAGGTTTTAGGGTTTAGGGGGGCTTAGGGCAAGTTGCTACAAGGGTTTTGTATAAAGCGTCTATAAAGATTACTATAAGCCCACCTTCCTCCCTAAACTCTAACCCCTAAACCCCTGGCTGGAGTGCTAAAGCATAGCCTTCTTGAGCATCGGAGTCCGGTAATATAGGGGCCTTAATAACTCGATCAAGGCTTGTGGTATATTATATTATATTGATACTAAGGAACCCCCTAAACCCTAAACCCTAAACCCTAAAAACCCTAAAAACCCTAAAAACCCTAAAAGCCCTAAACGCCCTAAAATCCCTAAACTCTATTCAAATTCGTAAGGCCCCCACATTAAGCAGCAACTCGACTGGTAAGTTGAAGACACCCAGGGCTTGCACTCGCTTGGGGTTAAGTTAGGGTTTAGGGTTTAGGGTTTAGGGTTCAGGGTTTAGAGGTTTTCTACACATGGGTAGTTCTCTAAAGTAGGGCCCCCTTTCGGTCCCCAATACAGTAGGCACCCTTATAAAAAGGACAGCAAAAGGGATCCTAATTTAGGGAACTACCCACATGAGCTTCGAGTTTAGGGGCTAGGGCCAGGGGTTAGGGTCTAGTCCTAAACCCTAAACCCTAAACCCTAAACCCTAAACCCTAAACCCTAAACCTATGGAAAGCTGCCACTTCAGGATTCGGAGAAGTCAGTTTGCAGGCTTTGGGGCGCGACACAAGGCCCCAAACCCTACACCCATGATAATTCAAGAATATACTCTAACCTACTATATTACGTATTATAATCATACTTTACTATACTTAATTACCCCTCCATCTGTGCAGGAGTTAAGGACCCACAGAACCCTACACCTATGTTCTAGAATATACTCTATTGTAGATACCATAATACAACCCGTGATGTTCTAGAATATACTATAACGTACAGTAATACATACTATAGACTATAATCATACTTTACTATAGGTTATTAACCCCTCCATCTGTTAAGGAATTAAGGACCCACAGACCGAGGTCTAGCGTTGCGTCTGCATGTCGGACACCCCATTTCCTGCAACTTCCAAGGCTTAGGGTTTGGGGCTTTAGGGGTTTAGGGTTTAGGGTTTAGGGCTTTAAGAGTTTAGGGTTTTAGGGTTTAGGGCTTTAGGGGTTTAGGGCTCTTGGGGTTTAGGGTTTAGGGTCTAGGGCTTAGGGCTCAGTCTGATTGCAAGCACCTTGCAAAGTGAAACAACAAAACCTTCGCAAAGCATGGGAAGCTATGGCAGGGTGGGTTAGGGGGTAGACGCGAGAAATAAAGTAAAATGGGGCCTTAATAATTAGAATAGGGTTATGGGCCCATTACACAATACTTATAATAAGGAACCCCCAAAATAGTATTGGTAACTATTAAGGCCCCTATATTGGTCCTAGGACTACCAGGGCAAGTTGCAATTACTGATTCAGGCCCCGATCTGACTGCCAACACAGCTTCCACGACGGCTCCTGCCTCACGTCCGCGAACCTTCAAGGAGCAGCTTGCGAGATCAGCGTTTCGGCTTAGGCTCTTGGTAGGTGAACCCTAAACCCTAAACCCTAAACCCTAAACGTGTAGGGTTTCGGGATTTACCTGCAGTCTTGTTTCTATGTTTAGGATCCTCTAAGAATGGCTAACCCAAGAATGCAACTACACTGGACGCTATCCCTAAACCCTAAACCCTAAACCCAATAAGGTTTAGGAAAGTGAGGGTGTTGGGGATCGAGGGCTCCGGCTCGAGACTTTTTGGCATGGGAGATGCTGCTCTTTCTTGAAACGTCGCTTGGAGGGTTTAGGGTTTAGGGTTTAGGGGGAGTTGGAGATTTTTTTTAAGTGCAGTAGCCTCTTTTCTCCACCCCAGGAAATGAGAGAGGAATACATAAGGTGTTGCTCGATGTTTGTCGATATTTCTTTGCCTACACTCCGGCCCAGTGTGCATCTTGTGGGTATACGTGTATAGGGGTGAGATGGGCCTTAAACCCTAAACCCTAAACCCCAACCCCTAAACCCTAAACCCTAAACTCTAAACCCTAATCTTCAGATCTTGATATCAAAGAAGCTGCCTCCAGGCCTTCGAAGTAGAGCGGAAAGGGCGTGACCTTTGTTGAGGCTTCGAGGCTCAGGGTTGCGGGGAGGTTTGCGGCTCAGGGCTTGCAATTCAGGGCTTCAGTTTGACAAGAAGCCCCCTCTGAAGACTGCAATTCGGGTTTAGGGTTTAGGGTTTAGGTGTTGCACAGGATTCAGCTGCGTGCAGAGAGACATAACAGACCGGATCAATGAGAAGCACGACGCCAACATCAAAGAGAAAAGCATGTCATCAAAAGGAGTACTACTACGAAGGAGAACAAACGACAGCCTAGTTTCGGCATAGCTGCCATCGTCTCTGTCCGTTTTGAAGCTAACACTACGACCGCAACTTTGCTGTTGAGCTTAACTGCTATTCTTTGTCTGCTGCGTGCTGCAGCATGTGTGCTCTTGGACATCGTAGTACAATGGATTAAGGAGCCAAGCAGCTACTTCAAACCAGCACTGTCCACTCCAAACCGTAACCCCCCGAATGCAATAGCACGATCCCTCACGCCTGTCGAATAAGCCCTGTACCATGGCACAAGCCCACCACAAAAAACGTCGCCCTTGAGGCTACAACCAATATCACTGATAGCTGGTATCACGACGCTCATTAATATTATAACCACTGTCGATTTGAGACTTAGTTTTGCCCGCTCATGAGTCCTGCTGATAACAACTTTGTTGGTCGTGTTGCTGTTGTTGCGTTTGGTACTCCGATTCCTGCCCCTGTTTCTCTTTGCACTCCCACTTCTACTGCTGCTACTGCTACTGCTACTGCTACTGCTATTGATAACGCCACTACAACTACAAATAGAACTACGCTACTACGACGACGACGATCACCTCCACCACTGCTACTCCTACTGCTGCTCCACCTACTACGCTACTGCTACTGCTATTGCTACCTATGCAACGACGAACTGCTCATCTTTGCCGTCTTTGAGGCACCGGCATAGCCGTCAGTCTCACTTCTATTGGCGAAATGTAGGGGCCTTAAGAATTAGAATAGGGTGTTGTGGTACATTGTAGTATACTTATAATAAGGATACGCCAAATTAGTATAATTAATTTTTTAAGGCCCGTATAGGAGCCTGTTCCGGGAGCCCCACACCATGGTGCACGTGCTGCAACTCGTGCACACAGCTGTCCGGAAGCCGGACCTCGCGCAGTGAGGCGTTGACGGACTGACGGATTGCCGTTCGTCAGGGTTTCGGGTTTTAGTATTTGGGGTTTCGAGTTTGGGATGGAGGGAAAGAGGACTAAGGATCTAGGCATGAATTCACACCTTATCTTCAGCATGATGCACGACAGGCATGTGCCAGGTGCCGGCCAGGTTGTGGAGCCGGATCCAAAAAATATGAAAGCCCTCTGCGATGGAAGCTGGCACCCACGGCCTAGCAGACAGCCTACCGTGTTAGGATCTTGAGCAGCGAAGTCAGTGGGAGCATGACCAGCGCCATGACGGCCGACCTACTGTTGCCACAACTCAGGTGGTAATGATGATGTTGGTTCCATGATGCTACGAGCAGGTGTGCAAGAGGAGGATTGTGCTGGTGATAAAGTGATAAAGATGATGCAAACGATGGTGATGGTGACGGAGACCCTAGACCGTAAGCCACGGACGACGACGAGGACGACGACTGCCACCACCACGACCACAACCCTTACTCATAATGTAGGGGCCTTAATAATAAGAATAGGCTCTTGGGGTATGCTATCTTCTAATTATGATAAGGAACCCCCCCCCCAAAAAAAAAATAGCGTTGGTAATTATTAGGGCCTCTATATTCAACCCCAAGCCCACCTTCAGAAAGTCTGTCCACGTCCGAGATGTGTTTCGGAAGTCATACCTGAGGAGAGGGTAGGCTTGCAGGCGCTTGAAGACTGCGGGGTCAAGTGTGGAGGGTTTAGAGTTTAGGGTTTAGGGTTTAGGGTTCAGGGTACTTCACTGCAGAAGCCCGAATGGCGATTAGACGGGATTTCCAGATGGCTTGCTACTACATAACCATCCATACAGGTTTCGGGCTTGATTTTTTGGGCATGTAGGGTGTGCAAGTTTACGGCCTGGGATTTCAGGGTGTAGGGTCTGCGGTTTTGTGGTTTTTGAGTTTAAGCTCAACGGTTGAGGGGTCAGGGTTAAGCAGTCTTTACATTGTGGCTATGTGGCTTCGATGGATATGACATATGAATCAAGGGGATTGACCGATGGCAGAGAGGTGGATCAGGTCATACAGCTTGCGCGTCTTTTCGAACAGTATCCCCGTTTAGCTGTTTAGTCCCAATATAATTACGCATGATAATCCCCTGAACCCTTTTCGAAAAAAGTGTGGCTATGTTGCATGATTTGTCGCACATTTAGCAGGAAGCTTGGCCAAGCCCTCAACTGTCAGATAAACCGTCCGTTTTGCACCACACATGGGTCACACAAGGAAACAGA